TCTGACATGTGCTCGGTTGATTCAGGGAAGTGAGTCGAACAGAGATTAAATGAAAAGGAGGCGAAAAATGTTTAATGTTTAAGGAAAACATAGTTGTTTCACAGCGATATAAATGTGGAAAGCTCAGGCGTCCACCTCTTAGTTCGTCTTTTTATCCACCTAAAATATTTATAAGTATTACAAGCAATCGAGAGATAATGAACAATCAATAAAGCATCCTATTGCACTAGCAACCCCGCAATCTGATGCTATCATAATTTTCAGCAATGTCAGGAATGCTCACGAACCCCCGATATTTGCCAGAAAACTTCCCAAGTAACAATTTAACAGTGTTTTTGGCTTTCACTCTGATTTATTGTGGTTTTATAACGGCAATAAACAATCTTTTTGTTTAAATACAGCATTTAACAGTGCAAAATATTATTGATTAGCAGTTCAGCTTTATGCTATTTTAAAAACCGTTTAAAGACTGACGAGAAAATCAGAAAGTGTCTGACTTTAAAAATGAATTTAATGCGGTACTCTATCCCTTTATAAAACTGTTCAGTAAATCAATTAATCATGTTTTGTTGTTTTTTTTAGTTTTTGTTTTTTTAGTCACTTTCGAATGTATGGGAATGGTAGGAAACCATTTGGAAATGCATGAAAATTTTCAATTTTTATTCATTATCGTCTTTAGATGCACGAAGTACATTACTATGGTGATAAGGTAAACACTAGTTTATTTGTTTCCTTATGTGAAAGCATGTTTAGTCACAAATTGTGGATTTTCTGATATTCTCCATACTGCAAAAATGATTTTCCTACCACTGAAGGGGCGACATCTCTCGGATCTTCAGTATAGCTACTACTCAAATCATATAATTAATTGGTATTTGTTTTATTGATGTCACGACAAAATTCTCCATAAAGGTGTTTTATCATTATAAAAGCAATTATGAAACCGTTCGGTTTCAAACGGGATCAAAAAGCATATATTGATGCGTTTTGGTGTGTAACACAAAACCTACCTACGCAGTGTAACACAAAACCTACCACTGTTTACAAATAAAACTAAAAAGATGGATCCGCCTAGAGACAGAGAGAAAAATAATCGAGTGGGGTATTCAAACGCAGATTCACAAGGAAGGACAATCGATTAATAATTCTAGCAATGCTGTCGATGGAAGGGAAATGGAATCCAATTCCAGAACTTTCTGGGAGGGCAGCTCCGACAAAATCGGTCAACAACAACAGTGCAACCGACTGCGAGGAGCGAAGTGAATGCGGTTTACGAAGCACTGGAAGCCGTCAAATTAGACGCATAAAAATGATAGAAATACACAGTTAATGGCAGCCTTCATCCATGACCTGAAAAGCATCAGTGCCAAACTGAGACTGCGGAGAACTGCTGACAGGAAACTCATCCGGAAGAAGGAAAACTTTTCGGGAACGATTGACCTTCACCTGTTGCAAGTTACGTAGACTCACTTCTGCAGTAACTGCTTCCAATAGATGAATTGCCCTTATCAAGGATGTCACGCAACTTGTTGATCCAACGCTGGAGTAGAACATCGTTGCAATGGCCGCACAACAAAACTATCGAAAGATAAACAAATTTTGACGTTTAACCTTTTCCCGGCAACTTTACCACCATTAATGCCATCATAAAACTAAATGAAATAGGATCAAGCAAAATGGCTTCAGATAAAAACATTTTAGTCTGCAAATTATTTTCATAAAAGCCGCATTAAAATGTTTTGCATTTGTTAGCGATTTCATGAAAGCAAACAGCAAATGGCTTATGGAAAATTAATGTTTATGCTATCGCCATATTGTTATTATTTCATTTGCATTTTTACAATCTTCGTTTTTCAAGATGTGTTTCCTTAAAAAAAACTTTATTCTCATCAATTCGTCAATGAGAAGTAATAGAAATTACGAAAATCATCAAATTCATCAACGTTTTCCGAAGGCAGGCTCTTTTTTCGATCTTCCGAAGCACATTTCACATTAAATTTAAACTGTCACCAAAAAATAGACCACAATATGCGTTTCGATGATTTTAGTAATTCTTTCAATACAATTAAATGAGGAAATTTATGAGGATTATGATTTTTGAACAATTAATTTGGCAAGATCAGACGATATTTATGCATCCCTTTTTATCATGATTGATGCCAAATGGCTTTTATTGTACTTTTAATAAGGATTTCAAATGGTTTTTTTTTATAATTTTTCGTTGACAATTGCCTTGAAAAGTTTAGGAATGCAAGAGATAATGGCTATACCACGATAATTACGAAGGTCAGATTTTCGGCCAGATTTAAAGATAGGCACTAGGAATGAGCTTTTCCAAATTTTTGGGAAGGTTCCAGATTCCAGGGACATATTAAAAAGCCAAAACAATGCAGCAGTGAGTTCCATTGCTAGACATTTAATAAATACTGGAGGAATTCCGTCAGGTCCAGGACCTTTTGAGACATCTAAATTTTTAGAGCCTGCAAAATATTCTGCACTTGAAGTTGATTGAGGCCAATGTCCCTTGAAAATTCTGGAAAAAATGCAAAATAATCGCGGTCGCAATCTTCTTCAGAAAATGTCGTATAGATTTCTTGAAAAATTTTTGCAAATAGATTGCAGTTTTTTTCCGAGTTATCACCGACATTTTCGTCGATTTTTCAATTTTTTTATTTGTCTGTTAAACCAGACTGGATTTTGTGTGCTTCTGTTGCTTTTTTTTTTTTTCAAAGGAATTTCTGTTAAAGTTTTGTAGAACACGTCTATACCAATTTCGACATTTCCTACATTCCTTAAAATTAATTGCCAATTGACACTTTTCCAAATGTTTGGGAAGGCTCCAGATTCCAGGGACATATTAAAAAGCCAAAACAATGGAGTAGTGAGTTCCATTGCTAGACATTTAATAAAATGTCAATGCATTCGTCATATAACCTTTTTGCAGCAAGTCATTCTTGAAATGTCTCGATAATGCAGTCTTTAGAACCTTCTTCAGGGTGGGCCAACTAGACAGATTCTAGTCTTAATGAGGTTTAGGTGGATGTGATAAAGGCAAAGCTATCTTTACGAGGGTTTTATGAATGTTGTTTTATAGAAGGCTTGTAGTACTTCAAAAAAACGTTAAATGTTACTTGGGTTACTACTAACTCAAGGTTTCTTCCAAAGAAGCTTCAAAATTACATATCTTTTATCGAATTTTAAATTTAAATTCTTTTCAAAATACCTTGGAATTCCCTCTTTTGAATTCTTTTGAAACTTCCCTAAGAATTTTCATGGAATCCTCATTAGCATTCCTTTGAAACTATTCTAAGAATTCGATCCCTTAGAAATTCTCCTCAAAATTTTCTTTGAACTCAAATCAAAACTCTCCTCAGAAATCCTTCGAAATTGTCTTCAGAAATCTTTCGGAATTGTCTTCAAAAATAGGGGAAATGGCTCTAATGTTGGCCTATGGATCTAAGATTTGGCCCATCACTAAAAATGCTATTTATCATTTTTTTTTCTATTCTAGATGAACGCGTCAGCCGACGGTTCTTATGGATATTTTTGGTCGCTATTGAAAATTTAGTCGATTTATGAATTTATGTATGGGCCCAAATTAGGGGCACTTAGGCCGACATTACATACATTTCCCCTTCTTCGGAAGACTCTTCACGAATCACTTGGAATTTTCGTGGAAATTTCCTTTAAATTTATTTTTAATTTGTTTTTATCTCAGAATGATGTTTGAATTCTGATCAGAACTAGTTACAATTGTTCCATAAATTTTGTAGGATTTCTCCTCAGCATTTTTTTTATTGACGTTACCATTATTTTTATATCATCCTCAAAATTCCATAAATTAACGGGTTAGAATTCAAAAACTGTAAACTTTTTGTTCAAATTGATGTTCTTGGAAACTTTTCCTTATCCTTATTCAAAATTTGATTCGATTTTTTTCAAAATTGTGGCATTTATGGCACTTCACGGTAACAGTTAATATCGTTCATAAAGTGAAAAAGAATTTGTACGCATATAGTCTTCTTTTAAGAATGCCATTTTTGTGCACTATGTTCCCATTTTTTCAGTATATAATAAATAACCAATACCATTACCTATTATCGTCAGGGTGTGAATAAAGTTTTGAGTGTTCAATTTTGACCAAACGATGCTATGAAACATAATATATACTCATGTAAAAATGAATATTTTAATAAAATAAAAAAAAAATCAAACCGATAAATCCTGAACTGTTAAAAACAACCTTTGAAACGATTACATTCAAAAATTTCAAAAAGATGAGTTTCTTAAACCAAACAAAAATGCAACAACATCTCATGCAACTGATCGATGCTGTTTCACCTGAGTTGGAAAGTTCAATTCCCTGTCTAATGATTGCACATCCCTTGCTAGTTGTTACCAGTACTGCTCGCACAGTACAGAGAAGCGTAACCCGCAGATATTACCGAAGAACTCCAATCACTGCATACTTTTAAATCCCCATTGCCTTGGAGCTTCCAAGAAAACCGGCTCTGAACCAGCTCACACTAATGCCGCAGAGTATACCGCTGAAGATGGCAGTGCACTCGAAGCAATTATCCGTAATTGGTAAATTACTGCCACTCTTCCTTTCACTTATTAACGTTCCGCAGTGAGACACCAGCCAGTGGCAAAGCATTAGAAAATGCAATGATTTCTACCTCAAAGCTTACGAATGCCACACGTTCTGAAGAATTGAGGAAGCTGCGATCGCACAACTCTTCCATGACCTATTAACAGAACATAGACTGCGTCGTCGTCGTCGTCGGTTCAGCGCCAACAAAGCGGTCGGTTATTTTCTCATCCCATTAAAGCATTCCACACCCCGACTCTCGCATTTGGAATAATATGAGAAGAACGGCACTGAAGAAGCCGCTCGCTGATTACGCCATACCAAACAAATGGAACAAACTAGAGCAAACCGCACAATACATCTAAATACTAGGCTAGTAATGCAATACATAAGGAAAAACAAAACTTACCGGAAAGCATTTGCATCCAACCGCAGATGTGGAAAACGGTGGTGGATTTCATAAACGCCATCAGCAAAAGACAGCAGATTGCCAGTACCGACGTAGCGACGGCCAAACCGCAAAACACCGTGGCCACCTGTGTGTGAAAAGATAAAATCAACTAATCCGATGTTTCACTGTTTGATCTAAATTTTCAACAAGTCTGAATTGCTTTCGACGAGAAGGTGGAATATTGGCGAATGATAATGATATTAATCAGCAAGAGAATGAAGACAAAATTTACACCTTCCAGATAGTAACGGATTTTCCAGCAGGCGCTAACGGCAAAAAATGAAAAACAAAACCATGCTAGTGCTACTATTCTACTTATAATCATATACCGAGCGGCAGAATACTTAACCTACTTCCCGGTACCTGCAGAAACGGGGTGAAAACAAACAAACATAACAAGGTTAAAAGAACAAACCGCACCTGGAAAGCGATGGACTGCATTGCCAGTAGGTCTTCGAGTTTACCGCTGCAGCTGTCGTTAAGGTCGTCTTTCTGACAAATCTGCCACAGGCCGAGCCGACCACCGGCGTCCGAGTCCGAATCGCCAACCCATTCTGGAATGGAGTAGAAATGTGGAGGAGAAGACAAGAGATAATTAGTATTGTATTGGGTGAGCAGAATTGGTTGTTTTTATTAAGTTTATCTGCATAATGACGCCATTGAGCACCGTTGGATATCACAATTATGGCATCCGGGGCCGGTGCGATCACTGCGTGAAGAGTTCATGCGTACAACCATAGTAAAAAAAATTGAGTTCAACCAGTAATCATTAACTCCCAATATATTTTCTCGACAAAATTCAAACAGGTAGTCGTCATCTTATGTAGAATAACAGAAGGAATGTAATGACAACTGCTTATTGCAATCTAAAATGATGAATTGATAAAAAATAGGGTATGCTTTTTGGAAAGCACACTAACGTAAATTTACCCTGAAAATAAGAAGGGAAAAAGATCACGATCGTATTTACTTATGTCCTGTACTGCACGAATGCAAAATGCTTAAGGCTTAGAAAGCTCTCTTAGAAGCTACTCCAATTTGAGTATATTCATTGAGTATATATTGGCGTACTACGGAGGGGGCTAGCTAGCCCTTTCTAGAATTGTCACTACAATAACTTATGTTCCATAAACATCAGAGAACAACTTTTCTCTAATTGCTAATTGAGAAATTCGAAAAATTAATTTAGCTGAAGAAGAAGAAGAAAATAGGACATTTTTTTTATTGCACTAAAATGTTATGATCGTTTTAAAATTGATAAATACTAAAGTAATTTCGTCTTCTAGGTACAATGCAGATTTCGTCAAGCAACCTCAAAAACTAAATGAGCGAAGGTCTGACCATTAAATTTATCATATGCTTATTAATAATAATCAAACTATTGATGATATTTATTGCCTCACAGCTAGTCATCAAGATAGCCTTGTAACTTCCTAGTCTAAGCATATAGAATAAGGCTAAATCATAATGCATCAATCAAATTGAATACAAATCGGAGTATGGCCCTCAAGTTGCTCTATAAAACACCAATCAACAACAAGAAATCGTTTAATTGACTACAAACCCTTCAGTTTCAGAATCAAACTTATGCAATGCATTGACAGCCTGCCGATTGAATCATTGGCCTCGAACGATTGTGTGTATTGTTTTTCTTCCTAGCTATGATTACGCCGATATTTTTCGCCACTCGTCACTGTTGCTGACTGCGGGACTACACCAATGGGCTAACACCTAAATTACACATTTTCCTCTTTCTTTCTCAGTCATGCGGAAAAATACTAGCAAATTGGCATAACACGTAAAAAAACTAAAAGAAAAACAGCCCCGGTTTTGGTTCAATAGGATCCCAACTCTAATTTATCGTTGCATAAAAAAAATCACAACAGTAGAAGAAAAAACACAACACTTACATCGCTCGAACAGCAACCACCAAGCATGAGTTGAAACAAGAAGCAAATTACCTTCCGATGAGAGTGAATGAATGAATGAATGGAATGGCATGCTGTGATTTTCTCCGAATCGATCGTCGAACCTTTTTCGTGTTGGGCTGTGGTTGCTATGATGCCCCAGATGTGAGGCCACTTCCATTGTGTAACCTCTCGACATGTGTCGAAAAATGCATGTGACCCTCGCCTCTTCACTCGGATTCAGAAATGAGTACTTCAGAGGTGGAGCGGAGGGAAGGGGCTCCTCCGATCGACAGAAACAAAACAAGAAACTTTTCTTCATGCCACGGAGAGACGGGGCGATAATTTGCCGAAGAATTTATGACCGACCGGTGGTTGTTGCTGTGGTTCCGCTGGTGGGAAAACAAAATTCGAGTAATGGATAAATTGGTCCAGCATCCAGCAAGCATTTGAGCGGTAGTGATGCTGCACCCAGTAAGTCAGCCCGCATTTTGCTCGCGTTGTTATCTCTTACTTCGTGATTCAGTTTCGGCCAAAAAAATGAATTAATTATATGATTAGATCGATCAAAATTAGACCATTTTCCTCCTTCGTGTTCGAATTCGACTCCCCGCTAGCTGTCTGTATGTCTGGAATTATGTTGTTCGCATCGTGTAGGTAGATGTGTCGATTGATGGAGTGTGATTGGTTCGTTGGTTGCGAACTCCACTCTTACTTTCATTCGATAATTAGTGGAGGGCTGTTCGGAGGTGGCATCGATCGGATAAATCTTTTGCGTCGGATGATTTCAACGAAATTTTAGTGTCATTTGTCATGGCTTAGCTGAAGTCCATTGATTTATACGGATCGTTTTCAACGACTTATTTGTCTTCGTTATGCAATGCCAGCCGTCAATTCTCTGATTGGAGAGCTATATTTCATCATCTCATTTGAAGCCTTGTACGTTTCACCTGGGTGGTAAAGGCTACATCTGTCCTCAACTTAGTGTTATTTGAGCATTTCCTTTTTTATGTTAATGATTGTTGATAGAGGCTAGACTTGATTTCCAGTACTTAAAAATTATAAGAATCAATTTAACCGTTATGTACGTGACGGGCCTCCCTTAGCTCAGTCGGTGAAGGCGCAGCTACAAACCAACACCATTTTTTTTCCTTGGTTTGTTTTCCGTCGATTTTGTTTTCCGTACTGAGTACCAGTGCTCGACCCATAAACTCATAGACCGGAGACCAACGACTTTACTTCCCGGGCGTGAAGACATTTTGTGCCTCAGAAAATCCCGGCGGCGCCGACTGGGATTAAACCCAAGTCTTTTGGGGTGAGAGGCAATCACGCTTACCACTACCGGCGCCGCTTAAAAAAACAAAATAAAATGCAAGACCATGTTGGAGGTCACGGTCAAGTCAAGGAATTTAGTCCCCCACGGACTAGAAATTATGAGATCCACCTCCTGGCTGGAATTCAGACATAACAAGAACGGAGAGTATTCATCCTAGAAAGGTTCAGAGACACCTATCTGAGATCAAATCATCAGATCGTACGTGATCTAGCACGTTACGTTAAGTTATACTCGTAGTTAGGTAGGTTATCACTTTTTTTTTCAATTCAAATAAAACACACCCCCAAAGGGGTATTCTGTAAACTAGTAGAAAAACGCAAATATTAAATTAGAATATCAAATTAAACAAACATGAAGAGCCAGGTAGGCTAATCAATTAAAATATTAAAATCAATGTACTTATGAGATGGATAATAACTAGGTAGGTCATGACTTCTCTTACACATTTCCAGTCAGTTGGTGAAAGGTCATTTTTGGATTCAGCTGCTGCACGGGTAAGGTAAGCTGCGCTGTGGGTGATTTGCCCATAGCTATTATCGGCGGATTTTCACGTATCTGGCGATCCTGCCAGGATACGAATCTGGAATCTTGGAGACCAGCGATAGGTAATAAAGGGCAAATCACCCACTTGCAAGGAAAATTGGAAATCTGAACGCGACCGGGACGGCCGTTCTGAGAAAACGAGTGAGGACGGATTTGCGAAAAATCGTCTCCTCGTGGTGGCACCGCCACAGGATAAGAACGCGACCGGGACGGCCGTTCTGAATGCGAGTGAGGACGGATTTGCAAAAATCGTCTCCTCGCCGTGGCAAAGCCACAGGAGAGAACGCGACCGGGACGGCCGTTCTGAGAAAACGAGTGAGGACGAACTTTCACAGGTGTGACGCCGGTCAAGCCCAGCAAAAAGAAGAAATCGGAAAAGAAACGGATTGCTCTGGTCAGACACAGATGAAGATACAAAAATGAAAACACTAGCTTCTCGGAAATTTGCATCCTCTATCCCCAGATTCCGGTCCAGTATCTGTGGGATTTGTTCGAGAACTGCAATGGGCACGGTGATTGGACAGCAAATCTGTTGCTAGAAGAGCAAAAGACATACGAATTCGAGACCTCGGATAATTTGGAAGCCGGTGCGGTTGGTGGCCTACTCGCGTATGAATGTGATTGCAATGGTATCGCAAGTGCTTTCCGGTGATCCCTCCGGTAGTGGTGGTGGTGGAGGGGGCTACGAAATCGATCGGTCTACCGTCAGCTCGAAATCACCCCGGAACACAACGAAAAGAAAAGACAACGCGGAAGATTTGCAAAACGATCCCGAAGTGCTGGAAGTGATGTTGGGAATGAATCTCATAAGCCAGCTACACGCCACTTTCAAGGATAAGCATGGCTCGGGTGCCATCTCTTTAGACGAACTAACCAATGAACGAACAAAGGTTTTCATGGCTACCGAAATGGCAGAACAGTTGTATTTGTCGTTCTTGGATTCCATGTACAGCTGCAGGGGGAAAAAAGATGCCCGATTCGCACAGCAAAGCGACGGAAAAGTATCCAGTTTTGTTCAAAAAGACCATCGAGGATTCCCCCAACCTGAACGACATTATGGAAATGGAGTACGCCCTAACGGCGTACCGAAGCAAAATCAATGGCTGGGCTAAGCAAGCTCCGCAAGATCTGTCCTCGCATATGACTCGTCAAAAGCTAGCCGAAATGTATCCTATCATTGACGAGAAAGTCCTAGCAGAAATCCTACATGCCCACAAATTCAGCGACACTATAACCGTCCTAAACAATTCCATTCCGGAAGAGCCGAGAAACCAAATCGCCCACGAACGGGAAGCCCTTATGAAGCGAGCAGAAGCCGAAAAACAGAAACCACTTCCTTCGTCCTCAACATCGCCGCCTCCAACGGTCCAGCAGGTACCGTCATCCAGCGAAGACGACATCAATCTTCAGCTGAAAACGGTTGAAGAATGCCGCAATATGTCCCAGGACCACCAGGAACTGAAAAACGAATGCCACGAGAAGGCACGGAATGCCATTGAGTGGGGCATGGCCGGGGTGGCCGAGTGCTATATCCAGGTTGCCCGGCTTCATCGAACCAAAATCGATATATACAGCAGTAAGGCCTCGAATGCCATCATGGAGGTGCACAACCTGACGCTGAACAATGTAGACGTGTTGGATTTGCACTATCTACACTCTGAGGAAGCGAAGCGCTGCAGTGTTTAGAGATTTTCCTAACAGAGCACGCCAGAAAGCTGACCCACCGGACGCAGCAGTTCAAAGAACTGTTCATCATTACAGGACGCGAGTTGCTGCACTCGGCGGATGGCATACCGATCATCAAGCACCAGGTGATGGCTATGCTGTGGGACCTGGGATTGAGGTAACAGGAAGCGATGGATCAAGATTCAGTAATTCATTATCATTAATTATTGTTTAAAAATACTTTTTATAACTTTTATACCAAAGGAGAGGGAAGATATGAGATGGATAATAACTAGGTAGGTCATGACTTTTCTTACACATTTCCTGTCAGTTGGTGAAAGGTCATTTTTGGATTCAGCTGCTGCACGGGTAAGTTGAACAATAATTAGCTGCGCCGTGGGTGATTTTCCCATAGCTATTATTGGCGGATTTTCACAGTACTATCATAATCAACAGAAATAAACTAGAGATGAACTAGCCTAAGGCTAAAAATCTCTTAAATAAAGAATTAAAAAAAAAAAAAAAACAGAAATAAACATAATTTTACTACTACTAAGTTTGACTGCAGTCATCGTTTGGCTGCTGAGTGATAAACAGGGGTGTTCGTTGCGTATTACACTGAGAACGAAACTAACTCAGAGAGTGAATAACTTTTTAGTAATGTTATTCAAATGGATAAGACCTATTGTATACTGGACACATGGTGACCAGTGAACCGGGAAATCGGGAAAAAGCCGGAAAAGGGGAAGTCCGTTAATTTAGATGATGAACCTTACTAATAAACTTCGTCCTCTCTTTGGAAAATAATAATCTTCTCAACTACTACATTTTCCGGATACAATCACTTTGAAGAACTTATTCGATAATTTTGATGGAAATTCCAAAGGAATTAAGAGGAAATTTTAGAATAAATTCAGAGATACTAAGGTTAGCATGAAAGATACAAATTCCAATGGAGTTTTTGGAAGTATTTTTTATAGAGTTTTGACTACAACGCCAAGTCAATTGTTTAAGTACAAAGTAGAATGATTAGGTGGTTTTGTGTGAAATTTAATGACGATTGTAAAGAAGATTACAGGTAAATTTCTAATGAATATTCTAAATAAATTCCTAGAAGAATGTAAAGAGAGTTCTTATGAGAACTTCAAATAAATTCCGAGAGAATTGAATTCTGAGAGAATAAGAAAGATAATTTCAAGTGAATTCTAATGAAAGTTCCAAGAGACATCCGTGATAAATATCAAGGGTTTTGAATTTTCAATTAAATTTCTAAACCATTTATTTTGTCATTAATATATTATTGCATGGAACAGCAAAATAATCTCGTAGTTCTACGTCAACAATGCGGTCGTGCTTTGGATACAACCCTCAACTTTTTTCTAAGGAAACTTTCAGGAAAGTTCTGCGAACTGTAGAGAAGTTTAGCAAACTTCAGATAACTACAGTGAACTTTAGGAAAGTTCTGCAAACTTTACATATGTTCTGAAAACTTCAGCGCAGTTAAATAAGGATTGTGAAATAATCTCCTGAAATTAAAAAAAAATCCATGAGTCTCCCTGATTTTACAGGTTTTTTTATGTAATCGAGACACTGCTTACAATTACTACTGGCTGCTTCAGAAGAATTGAAAATATGCTAAATCCTTGAAGCTCTTCACTAAATCGCTCATTTAAGCTGTTTCAAAATGACCCTAGCATATTGTGTCTGTTTATGTTATACTTTGACACGCGTTTATGTTTGACAGTTTACACACTCAATAGTTGGAAAAGATTGCATAATGGGCTTTCAAATGCCAGTGATACACAGCTCAACAACAAGAATGACCTGGTGGTAAAACAAACAAATAACACAAGACTTACGAGCACTAGCTAACTTTACCTTAACTTGTACTTACCGGGTGTGACAAAAGCGACAACACTGATGATTGCATAGCAAATGCTAAAGATTGCCCACAGCACTGCGATCGCCTTTGAGTTTCTGATGTAGTTGGTCGCGTACATGTGGCTCGAGTCGACATATTCTATCTTCGTTCCCATGGCTGCTGCTGCTGACGTTGAACCGAAAACCAATCTTCTCCTAGGGTGGTTATTTTGCAATCTCTCCTCTGAACGGCACTCTTAATCTTCTTTTTTTCCTTTTGCTTATTTCGTTTTTCACCTCTTTAGACTCATTCACTTTACGCTATATTACGTTTCAATTATGGTATTCCGCAAGTTGCACCTTGCACCCAACTAACACTGAACCAGCTATGAGATTGTGGTGAATCTGCAAACAAAACACACGGAAAAAAGCGAGCCGGTTACACCGATCGTCCATTTATTAAATGTCAAGCATTTTGAGAAACTATGGATGAAAAAAAAAACAACAACACTATCTTCTCTTTGAAACAATTCCGAATGCAGGTGCTTAGTGACACTTTTCCATAGCAGCAGCAGCAGACGTCTTCGCGGCAGAAAGAGTAGGGGTGGCATTCGTGGCGTAGCGTTATTAAAGATGTTACTCTTCCATGAAGGTTCTCTTCAATTCACACGATCGTGACGATGTGCCGCACTCAGTCAGTCTATTGCAAACGAAGCGTTGTGAAGGTGTTTGTGTGTGGGTAAAGGCAATTAAACCCATCAGGATGCACCACGACACAGAACATGATGAGCACAGACTCGGCACACGGTGATCGTGCTGGAGGTGAATGGTGATGATCGCTCACTAAGCATGACGACAACCTACAGAGATGATGATCTAGATTCCGAAGAGTTGAAGGTTTCGTTTAATGATTGCATTGGGATATTTGGAAATAGTAGCACGAGTATTACGAGAGAAAAAAAACCACACACCCGTGTCGACCGGGGCAAACCGAAACGATCCCCGAGCAGTCCATTTAAATTTGGCGTGACCATCGTGATCTATGTGCAGCACCAATATGATCCCATAATTTCGAAACCATTTCCAGCACTGCCTTTATCGATCCGTTTCACCTCAATCTACTCGATCAAAACAAACTCGAAACGAAACCGAAAACGTGGCGAATAATGAAATTACTGTAATCATAATTAGCAATTAGACACGATCAGTCGATCAGACTCCAATAGTGGCCAGTAGATTGCATAAACTTGAAAATATTTCACCTACTGCTATGTGATCACACCCCAGCGGGAGTGATCGATGTTCTCTTCCCGTGTCTCAGCTTTAAATTTTTAACATATTTATCAAAATTAGACTCCAAGCTCAGATAGCGACGAACCCGATCGATTCCGGTCCGGCGGCTAAAACTTTCCCTTTCGATCGCGGGTTCACTCTACTCACCAGCTCGATCGCTACCGGGTCGATATAAAGTGTGACACATTCAAAGCAGACAGCGCCAGTGATCGCCAAGCTTAAAAATACCAGGCGTACATGAGCCGAGGCAGGTATTGGCGCGCGCGAGTTCCAACCCACCATGAAACTCTCATTCTTCCATCTCCAATTCCACCGCGGGGGGACTTCGTCCGAGTGCTGAATCGTAAATCGTGTGCTTAAACTTTTATAACCTCTCTCGATTGGAGTCTCCCCAGTCTGGGCTGGGGTGCTTTGAACCTACCCACTAGTAGTACACTAGAAAGAGCGAGCTATTCCGCAATGAAAGCTGCTGGTTGTAGCTTTGGGTGGAAAATGATCAAGCAGTTAGCAAAGTTGGCTGTGCAAATGCATGCGGGTGAATTATCTTCCTCTCACTTGAAAGCGCTTCTAAGAGGATTGATTCATCTCTAGTCTGACTCATCGAACGTCTCGAATACCTCACGACCGACTGGTCTGGCTTCTGATGGCACGGTGGTTGTGCTTTACGCATATTGTAAAGGCCAGAATTTGCATCGATTGACTGTGTTTATCGTTAGTACCTACAGAGGTACGTAAGTTTTACTAGGAGAACTGGGTGTAACATACCATAGGGTTATATGACCACCGACATTTTTCGACAACTGATACAGTTTTTCAAATGATAGTGCAGCAGTTCTAGTTCTAGTCATTTTGATTGAAAAACCATTGAATTTAAGTCTCATCTATTTCAAGGGCTGTCTTAAATCTCTTTGACGCAATGTATATTAAAAGTCCGAAAGCGGAAGACTTAAGGTACACCGGGAAAATCAACAGTTTTATTCAAAGCTCCCTAGACCAATACTGTGTACATCGAACTTAAATCTTGTGGTATGATCATAAAAACTGCAAAAATATTAGACATGTGCTTACGATGTGAAAAGCCAAACCCCCAAATATGGGGTAAGTGTTTTGATAATGAGCAAGAGTAACAATTTTATTGTTATCGAAATTGAGTAAAACACATTATACTCTCTTTGAATCATAGGCGATGAACACTAATCCACCAAACAGGAACAATACCACTGTACTCTTGCATTGAATTTCCACATTGATAAACGTATAAGCACGCTAAAAAACGCGTGCATTTCAATAGCATTACGTCTCAGTAAATATAATTTTTATCATGTGAATCATTCCTGTTGAGAAAAAATATTAATCAATGTTTAAAGAGATAATCTGCCGGTACTTGCATATTCGTCCCATTTGGAAAATCGTCATATCGAGAAAAGGACGATTAAAGATATTTATATAATTTGCTGTTTTTCAGCTACATCAAGTACTTGAACACATTTATGGTAGTGGTCTTTCGTTAGGATATGTGGAATGAGATCAGATGGGACTCATTATACGAGTACATTTCTGCCCATAAATGAGAAAATGGCTGAATGCTAGAAAAATGCTGCTTTAATGATTTTGTCGACCAAGTAAGTTTTACTAGATAATATTAATTTTTATAGCATGAAAAATATTTATAATTTATGCCGAGATCATGCCGTGGAACAAAAACAGGAAAACAAATAGCCAATTTTCATTTGTACAAAATTTTCATCGCAGTAGCCATATTTTCATTTACAAAACTAGAGCTTCATTCGCCGGCTCGAAAATGTGTGCACTAAATGACGTTGCATTGCCTGCTCCCGCCAAAGTGAATAGGAGTCGGATGGAAACAACAGTAGCGTTTAGAATAGCTGCCCCAATCGTGAAACGGGCCTTTGCAAGGCTAAAAGGAAGAACACACTGTGATCCCAGGAAGCTGTAACAGACAATCACGCTTACGCATTATTGAACTAAAGTGAATTCCATATCGAAAAGCTCCACACTTAGAAATTTCTATGTTTACACTGTGACGTAAATCATTGAATGTAAACAAACATGTCATGTAAAATTAAGTGCCCTGAAACTGAAAAATATCGACAGTGAGCATGCATAAGGGTGTATACGCGATGATCGATTCTCGATATGCAACTCGACGAAAAGTGCGTTTGATTGAATTGATTTTCTCGTCCTTTTCAACTGATTCTTACGTCAAAAGGGCCGCTTGCATTAGTACTGAAATTTACATGAATTTTTCGTAGCGTGTATGTTAAAAATAATCAGATTAAAAACAGGAATAGAACTCTGATCCTCATGATAACTTAAATCACACCTAGGCTGCAAGACCATTAAAATTGATCTTCAGAAAAATCTCTATTAAAAGCACACTGGTGCTGCGCTGGGTTTCAGATTCATCATACACATTACAAAATGTCTCATTTATATTGCACATTAGTCATTTATTTGTTCAAGTCATTTATCCACGTATTTTTTTTATTTATTTTTTTTTAAATTGTATGCAGTGGAAACCTTGACAAGAGTAACAATTATCCATTTAACACCTCTTTCTTGATTTGGACAAAAAGGGCATATTAGCCATTTTCTCATTTATGGACAGATTTTGTGTCTAGCACAAATATAATCGCATACCAGTCCCATTACTCACTATTTTGTTAAGGACTGTATCGAAAATAAATAGTTTCTTTCCAAATCCATATAAAATATTTTAAACTTAAAAAGGTTTCTTTAATTATGTATGTCACGTCCTTCTTAAGAAGTTCACTTCACAAAAACCAATTAAAATCTATTCTCTCAGGTATTTTTATGATCTAAGACTTTGGTCGTCTTATAAATTTTGGACAGTATGACAAAACATGTTGTAAGCATTTTTTGTATACATCGTATAATATTTTTGATGTACGACTACGTCTGTGATTTCTATACGGGAAATGAAACATGTAAAAAAATTACTAAAGATTTTGAACGTTGAACACAGCTGCCCTTGGACCAGTTTCAATAATTTGATCACCAATAGATCAGAAATATCTCTACGCATCTGTTCAATTTTAGACTTCATCATTTCTGAAAAATGTCACTATTGAAAATTGCACGCATGTACTACCATAGAGGTAACTCTAAGACCGAAAGGTTCCGAAGAAAAGTGCTCAACTTTTTGGCTCAGCTCTGGTACTCTCTTCGGTTCCAAGCTAATCGATGCACCCCTCGAAACATAGGAAAATCCACGAACTTCTCATTTTATCTGTCAAACATTCATAGCGAATCAAAACAAACATAGTGTAGTACTAGAATTTCGACTAGAATGGGGTACGTTAATTGATTTGCTTGGGACCAATAGGCTAGTCAAATAGTGAGCCAATTTAAAATCGTTAGTTTCGTATTGATTGTTGGTACTACTGTTGTTATGATAGTTAAAATTATCACCGATTGCCTGCGAAAAGCGATTTCCCTAACACAGATTTAAAGGTTGAATTTCATCCGGTCTCACCAAACGGTGTTTATTCAATCACCGCGTGGTGAGTGGTGGTGTTCTCCAGTACACAACGAAAGGCTGCCTGCAAGCAGCGAGCTAGGGCCCACATGAGTATCCATAGGAGGAAGAAGCCGCACCGCTATTGATCGGAATCAGTAGCTCTTCGTTAGTCGCTGTGATCCATCTATGTCAAGCGCGTATAAACAGGAAGAACCCCGCTCAAATTCCTATTCCTACACAAAATTCAAGCTCCTGCTAATATTTGTTAACTAATTTATTATATAAGACCTCGTAGTCCTACGTCACCATTGCGTACAACCCCATAGGGCTGTCCCTTGTAGTTTTAGAACTTGTTTCATGATCTTAGTAGCCTTAGCATCCATGGCAAAGGATGTGAAGAAAATCCAACAATTTTCAATTGTTTTGGACTGTACTTCATTTTTGCTGAAATATTGATTAAATTAAAAATTGTGATTTTCACCGAAAACGACCCAATTTAACTTGTTCGAAACTACAACCTATTGGATGCCGACTGCTGATGCTGAATGGCAATTGTAAAGAGCATCTTCAAAAGGATATTAA